CTTCAGAGCTGGAGTATTAAACCTCATCTGCAGAGAATATCCACAATCCAGTGCTCCCATCTGTGTCAGGATTGGCTGAGGGTCCCAGAGACCTGGAGATACAGGCTAGAGCTCCAGAAGGGCTTAATCTCCGGTTTCTCCCAGAGTTCACCCCAGCCTGTGCTGTCACCTTCTATCTGCCAGTCTCCTTTCCTCGTACCTTCTCCCTTCCTAAGTTTCAGCTGAATTACTCCCAGCACTTCTCACCACTGCCCTAAACTTAAAATTCCTGATGTGTTGGCTCAAAGAACAATATTTTAACTGGCAGCTCATGGCCCTTTTGCTTCTCAAGATCCCTTGCTTCTCATATCCAAGAACACACCTCAAAATCTCTACCTATTTCTGCCTCTGGTTGTGAAACTTGACCAAGTAAACAGAGTCCTTGGCCTGTCTCTTCTTTATGAACAATAGGGGCACTGTTTTGTTTTGAGTCTGCCTGTCTGGACTCAGAGAGCTGTGCTTCCACAGGGACCCTGTTCGCACCCAATATCTCCTTACAAGAAAACCATGGTAGCAACATTCAGTGGTTTGGGTTTTATTCAACTGCAGGACCAACAGTTAAACTTTTTCTGGAATGGGTGTAGCTCAGCATACTGGCAGATACAATGCAGAGTACCCGGTTAAAGCTGAATTCCAAATAAACAATAAATACATTTTTAGTATTAAATATAGTCCATGTGGGACTCCCTGGTGGCGCAAGGGGTTAAGCACAACGCTGTGAAGCTATCCACAACCTCTGCAGCACTAGTTCGATCTCCGGGCCAGCCAGGGAGCTACCCACATGGTGCAGAGACCTCTCCTGTCTTGCCCGCTGCTCCTCTCAGCAGTGTATTTCAGTAGATGCCTGTTCTTCTCCCCACTCTGTGTCTAGTGAATCCTCTCACTGCCCCCACACCTCTGGCCTGTACCCCAGTCCTTGTATACATATATATATATATATATATATATATATATATATATCTCCTGTGTAACACCAAGGACATACTCATACTTTAAAAGTGTTTGTTTTTAATCTGAAATTCAAATTTAACTGGATATGCTGTATTTTTAATGCTAAATTAGGTAGCACTAAGACAACATCAAATAATTCTGTTAAATAAGAGATATGAAAATGTGAAAATATTACCAGTATGTGCAAGCAGGCAGCTGGCCCAGGTAAGTCCATGTGCCTGTGCTTGGCTGGGAGAAAGCAGGCATCTGATTAACCATCACAGCTGATTCCTGCAGGAGAGATCATGCTCCAAAAAGACATTACAGGGGCCTCCCCGGTGGTGCAGCGGTTGAGCGCTGGGTTGTGAAGCTGCCCGCGGCCTCTGCGGCGCCGGTTCGATCCCCAGCTGCTCCCCGGCCACTGGAGGAGGGTCCCACATGGCGCGCAGACCTCTCCTGCCGCCCGCTGCTCCCCTCAGCAGTGTACTTCGGTCCTTCTGCCTGCTCTGCTCCTTGCTCTGGCTCTGGTGAATTCTCTCACCCTCCCGTGCTTCTGACTGTACCCAGTGATTGTATAAATAAATAAAAATAAATCTTTAAAAAAAAAAAAAAAAGACATTACAATACTACTTTGAAAAGGAATGAAATGCAAGAGGGAGAAAAGAAAAAGGAAAGAAAGGGCAAAGGAGTAAGGGAAGAAAGGAGAGTTAAAAAATTAACGGATTATCTTTTAACAATATGAGTTTGAACTGTGCATATTTTCTTCTAAACAATGTAAAATTATGGTTTGGATAAATACTGTGCGGTGTTGTAGAAACATTTTCTCATACTAATGATCTCAATATTTTCTCTAGCATTATTATAAGAATACAACATAACTTACAAAATAGGTGTTAATGGGCTGTTGTCAGTAAAGCTTGCAGTCAACAACAGACTGACAGTAGTTAAGTTTTGGGGAGTCAAGAGTTACACAGGGATTTTCAAACTGAAGCAGGAGGTGGCAGCCTGGGCTGGTGGCCCTAACCCAGCATTGTTCAAGGGTTAACTGTAAGACTCAGTAAAAAGTTATTAGGATCTACCAATTACCAAACGTCTTGTATAAGAATGCTTTATATGATTGAAGAGAAAAATTTTAGAAGAGGGAAGATGAGCTTCCTAATGATAAATCATCTCCATAATTTTTACAAAGGCATTTTCCTAAAAAGCCAAGGGAGATTCGGGGGATCTAGGTCCTCTTCCTGCCCCGGGACTGATCCCTGCATGATTGGGGGAAAACCTTTTACAGCAGCCTTCATCCCACCCTCAGTATCTCAGTTTCATCCTAGTTGCAAAACCACACTTTCACCTGGATACCGATGTCATCTTAAAGCGCTGAGTAAAAAAGTGGGGGATGCAGACAAGGAAGTCTTCTACTGCTCAAACAACCAGTGACAAGGAAGGAAGCAGCTCTGCTCCTCAGACGGAGGAAAACAGCCTCATTAAAAAAACACTTTTTAATAAAAAAAAATTTCATCACAATCATTCACAAAAGGATTTTAGTCAAATGATGCAACAATTTTAAGGCAATAATAGTGTTATGTTTGAAAGCCAGTGCTGATTACCAGGTGTATTAAAAATGGCCTTGGGGAAAATCTCTGTGCAAATATTTCTTTTTTAGTTTAATTTCAAAGACTACTTAAAAGCAAAAAGGGAGGATGTCTGAAGCAGTAAAGTAGCAATCATTTGCACCTGGATAGACTATGTTTCATCCCAGAATCTGGAGCATTTTGTGCCCAGATGGGAGAGGACGTGTGTGCACAGGGAGCTTGGGGGCCAGGAAGGGACATGGCAGAGAGACAAGGTGCCTCTGTCAAGGTCACCCGGAGACACAGGTGGACTGGAGAACACCGCTCCCACCTGATTGCAATCACGAGGCCTCTGCTCTGAAGGGAGCCCGTTGTGCTGCAGGAGGTCCTTCACGGCTACAGGATGGCAGCTCCTGCAGCTAAAAAGAAGCCGTGGAGGCCATGGCTGGGTTTACTGAGCATCTGCTACATGCACAGCACTGTTAAGCACCATCAAGGAGAATGAAGACAAAAAGACCCAGATTCTGCCAATAAGCAAGAAACTCACAAGGTAAGACACTCCTTGTGAAGAGATGGAATCTATCAGCAAGGGTATGGGCTTCCCTTGGATCCCCAAGGATTTTGATGGAGACATGGAGTTTTCAATGTTTCAGGATACCCTATATTTTACTCAACTTCTTTCTCCATTGGAAAAACTAGAGAAGCCTGCCTTTCCCTGTGACATAAAAGGATGAATGCTGGCCTCCAAGCTAGCCACCGAAAACCAGACACTTGAGGTCTCCTCCAAGAAGTTAAGAAGGGATTTTGGTTAATGGGTTTTGCTGAGTTTCCTGCCTCACCCAGTACTTTTCCCCTCCCTCTTTTCTTCTTTTCCTTCCCACAAAAGAAAAACTCACAAATAGAGCTCAATACATGGCAAACAGAGTCGCGCCCATTTTGCTGAATGAACTTTTAGGGCAATGCTGCTTCATTCAAGGCTGAGCAAGGGCCTGTGTGAGGAGGAGGGTCTGACTGACAGAACAGGACAGCATGGTGGACACATCACCCTGCATCCTCTGAGTGCTGCAGATGAAGGACTAGGCTGAGACAGGCAGAGGGCAATCCTCAGCAGCCCCCACCACTATTGACCAGCAGGATGGCCACCGTGCGGTCTGGATTTTCTAAGACAGTTCCAGTTTAAAATGTTGCGTTGATCCCATAAACTGTCCAGTGGTTTGGGCATTATAACACTTTAGGGTCCAAACTACAATTTCAAAACTGCCCCCTCACATCCCAACTGGGTTTCTAAAACTATGATCTTTATTCCTAGAAGCTAATTGGAAAATATGTGTATTGGGGCCTCATAATGCAATTGCCCCCATGTTCCCTTTCAGCTACGGGCTCTCCCCTCATTTAGTGCTGGATGCTGCCACCTCATTCCATCTGCCCTTTGCCCTCCCTCTGATGAAAACAGCCCTCATTAGGACCTGGCTAAGCACACGCTGAAACTAAATGATTAAGAGGGATGTCTCCAAGAGCTAGCATTTTGAGATCAAGGTATGAAATCCTGATAAAATTGGGGAGTTAAATAAAGTATAAGCAACTAGGGAGAAAAAGGAAAGAAAGATCTCTGAAGTGGAGACATTTTTACCTGCTTTGTCTCTTGGCCACACTAAATGGCCTGCCTTTGAATGGAGTGGAAGAAGCTATGGTAGCCAGGGCTGGGAGAAAGTAGGCATCATGTAAGTATGATTATCCCTTGATGAATGGCCAAGATGGACACTCTGCCTAGTGTCTATAATGAGACATTGTCTATAATAAGACTGGGAGTAAGCTTACTGATGATCTGGCTCGGAGACACCTGGGCACTGGTGACAAGTCCAAAGTGGAGCCCAGTGTATGTTTTGCATTCTGCACCAGGGATAACATGAACCCTGCCCACCAGAAAACTGTACAGTGGAAGATATCAGTCTATCAGGAGACCACACTACCCAATGGTCAGCATGTGAAAAGCTGTGAGATGGCATCACACCTAGGACCATTCAGTCCTTTCTCACTGGGTGTCATGAAAGCCAAAGGGTGATTTTCCTGAAGAAGCTGTGGTTTGCTACTTGCAACTGGACCTCTGTTCCTCAATCCATTTCCTCTGCATAGAACACACCAGAAATCTGTCATCACCATCTCTACCAAAATTGATACCAGTGGCGTGAAAATGCTGAAACATCTTACTAAAGATCACTTAAACAAGAAGAAGCTGGGTCCACCCAGATACCAGGAAGGTGAGATCTTCAACACAGAGAGGAGAAATAGGGGATTACAGAGCAGCAGGGGGTTGACTAGAAAGCTGTGGACTTGCATATTCTGCCCAAAATCAAGGCTATTCCTCAGTTCTAGGGCTACCTCCACTCTATTTGCTCCCACAAATGGAATTTGTCCTCACAAATTGGTGTTCTAAATTTCCTTAAAATGATCTAATGAAATAACTAACCCATTTTTTAAAATTAAAATAAAGATGCCTGGACCTCTCCCTCAGAGTTTTTGAGTTAACCCTCTGGAGTGTAGCCTGGGCATCTGGATTAGTAAGAGATCCTCCATAATTCAAGGTTGAGAACATCTGATCTAAGTTGTCCTCTTTCCACCCAATTGCATCATGTGAATTTCTGAGTTAAAGGGCAATGACTGAGCTCAGTTTTGGATTTACAGTGACTGTTGGAGATTCAAACAGAGACATCCTCTGCTCCTTGCTAATGATCCCTCTGGATCTTATAAATGTTTATCCAGGCAGCCCTGGGTCCCACAATGGCACCTGATTGCTGGGTACACTTGCTGGGATGGGGAAGAGGCTCTTCCAGACAGTAGCTCCAGACAGCTTGGCTCTAAAACACAAACAAACAGAAAATAGTCACTCTGCCTCCCAACCTGTTCAGCACTAGGGAGGTGGTGGGGTGGGGATCGGGGAAGATTTCAAACAAGGGCAACATTTACTAGGCTTTTCTAACCTGTGCTAGAATAGTTATTACTGCAAATAGCTGTTTTGGCTGCTACGAGTCTGTAATTTCAACCTCTGAAGTAACATGTTCTCAGAGCTTCTGGTATCTCATTTTGTTGATGCAATGAGGAAAATCCAGGGACAGGACTTCAGGCAAGTTCTCACCCTCCCAGTTGCTGGTGCTGTAGTGATTACCAGGCTCTTCAAAATCAGGCTTCAAGATTTTTACAAGGAGGATCCTTCAGAGTCCGAGTTAGGGCTTCTTTTTTTTACCATGCTTGTAATAAATACTCTCTTCTTAAAATGCTCATTTTTGCCCTGGGTATCTTCCTGCAACAACTTTGAAAGTAACCCCAGTATCCCTAACCCTCAAAGACACCTTCATTTGCTCCATTCTTCCTGGACCCCTTGGATCTGGGTGGGGCCTCCCCATGAAGGCCCTGGGGAAAGAAGAGGCACATAACAGTCTCAGCCTTTTCAGGGGGAGAAGTGTGTATATATACACACAGTATACATATACACACACACACACTATATATATATATATATATATATATTCCAGAAAGGTGCGTCCTTTTCACGCAACTCTGTAGCTTTGCAGGTACCATCCCAAACTTATTAAAAAAAAAAAAAGATTTATTCATTTATGCATATGATAACAGGGGTACAGATCAGAGGTGCTTATATATATATAAATATATATATATGCACACGCACACACACACATCCCAGACTTTTGAACATTCATATCCAATCAGCAATGAGCATTCATCAAGGCCATGGTAGAGAAGGCTGAACATGGCAAATGAAAACCTGAACTCTCAGAGAGGACCTGGGTTGGCCCTGACTTGCTAGGGCTGCAGCTTCTCCAGCATTGCTTTAATCCATTATGAAGTCAGTTCTTTCATGGAAACCACAGTCCCACCAGCCCACAGCAACCCAGACAGGAGCTTCTGTCAGGGGGAGGGTAGCCTCAGGCATGCAACTGACCAGCTTTTATGCTCCTTTGTTTGTGGCTTGGTGACCCCACCCTACTGGCAGGAGGTAACCCCTAAAAGTTACCTTTCAGATGAGACAAGAATTCTCATCTTTGTCTTTCGAATTCTCTAGGCTTCAGTGGGTAGATATGAAAATTTCAAAACAAAAGCATTTGAATTCATTTTCATTTTGAATTCATTTTTATTTTTTAAAATGAAGAATACAAAATCATAGAGTACTTCATGGGAGCCAAGAAGAAGGAAAGATGTCACCAAACTCATATCATTAATTCATTGAACACCCATCATGTGGTGAGTATGGTGTGATGGTTGGCTCTGCAGACAAATTATCAAGCAGGGCCCTGGCCTTTGAGAGCCCTCCGTTCGCATTCCATAAAGTATGTATTCCACAATTTCTTTATCCATTCTTCTGCTGATGGGCACTTAGGCTACTTCTGTGACTTGGCAATTGTGGACAGTGCTGCTATGAACATAGGATGGTGGTGTGGCAGAGGACGGGTAGAACATGTGCGCAGAGGAGTAAAAATGTAACACACCCACAAAAAAAATTTTTTTTAAAGCTTTCAGTTTATGAGGCAGATGACCATCAGATTTTGTGTTGACAAATATGCGAGTTAACAGTAGTATGTATGAATAACAGTGAGTGTCCATAGCTGTAACAGAGGTAACCTGGCAGCCCATGTGGGATGCTGACACTGCCCATGATGTGCAAAAAGGCAGGGGAAAGGCCTCCCCGGTGGCGCAGTGGTTGAGCGCCATGCTGTGAAGCTGTCTGCAGCCCCTGCAGTGCGGGTTCGATCCCAGCAGGCTGGGGAGAAACCCACATGGCGTGGCAGGCCTCTCCTGTCTCGCCCGCTACTCCCCTCAGCAGTGCCTTTGGTCCGTCTGCCTGTTCTGCTCCCAGCTCTGTCTCTGGTGAATCCTCTCACCCTCCCGTGACTCTGGACTGTACCCCAGCTCTTGTATAAATAAAAAATAAATCTTAAAAAAATATATTAACAACAACAAAAAAAAAAGGCAGGGGAAGATTGATAGGAATTGTACAGGGCCTGATATCAAAAAAGTATAGGTAGGGCCTCCCTGATGTGCAGGCGGTTGAGCGCAGCCAGTTCCATCCCAGCCGGCCTCAGAGCAACCCACATGGCATGGCAGACCTCTCCAGTCTCGCCTGCTGCTCCCCTCAGCAGTGCATTTTGTCAGTCTGCCTGTTCTGTTCCCCGTTGTCTTTGATGAATCCTCTCGCCTTCACGCACGTCTGCCCTGTGCCCCAGTTCTTGTGTGGAAAAAAAATAAATATTAAAAAAAAAGTTTAGGTAGGGGGCTTCCCTGGCAGCACAAGGGGTTGAACACAGTTTGAGGCTGTCCGTAGCCTCTCAGAGTGAGTTCGATCCCCAACCGGCCAGGGAGCTATACACATGGTGCCGCAGACCTCACCTGTCTTGCCCGTTGCTGCCCTCAGCAGTGTATTTCAGTCAATCCGTCTGTTCTGTTCCCCACTCTGTCTCTGGTGAATCCTCTCACCCCCAGCACCTCTGACCTGTACCCCAGATATCGTATGCATAAATGAATAAATCTTAAAAAAAAAAAATAAGTAAGGTTGAGATGGTACCTGCAAAGCTACAGAGTCTCATGAAAAGGAGGCACCTTCAAGAATAACCTCCACAGGCTGGGGCTTCAACGGGCATGGCCAGCTAAGGCAAACTGCTGAAAGCTGGTGCCCTGCCCAGTCCAGGAGGAGGCCCCTTCCTGACGCTCTCCCACTGAAATTTCTTCTTCACTGCACACTGGATCCATGTGCATATGTCTGATAAGCACTGATACTGGTTTGTAGCCTTGGAAGTCACACATGTCATCCTATCAGGATGCTAAAAATAACGTGCCCATCTGCTGCCTACCGTCTCACCTGCCCAGACAGTTAGCCAGGTGGGTCCTGTCACAAAGCAGAAGCTGGCAGAGGAGGATTCTGGCAGCTCTGCAGCTTGACTAACTACCCACTGGCTTCCAAGCATCTCAGGAGGCCAAGGAGTCTTGCCACACAGAGACATTGGCCTCAGAGAATCCTGAAAGGGGGAGGAGAACAAATGCTTATTGAGTAGTCACTCTAAATCAGACCACTGGTTAGCTACCTCACATATGTCACTGTCATCTCTATTTATAGAGAAAACAAAGGCTCACAATCCCACAGTTGTGTAGAGGTAGAGAAGAAATACCCACTACTCCTCTGGGTTCTTCTGGGGCTGGTGGAGCAATCAAATTAACATCAGACAGATTAACAGGACAAATTTAATTACCTAAGTATGGAGAACCTATATGGATGTAACTTTTAAAGTAAGTCAGACAACAGGGGAGAATTTACCCTGAGCTAAGGAATAGGAGAAGGGTCTAGGGCTTCAAGGAGAGAGGAAGGGGACTCACATGAGGAGGAGAGGGTGACTCATATGACAAAAATCAGATGCTCCGTAATTACATGTTTGCCCTGCCAGATAGACAGATTGCACCCATGGAAAGGTTATTTCTGGAGATAATCCTAGCTCTGGCAACTACTCCCAATTTTCATCATCTAGGTAGTTAATGGAATGGTAAGTTTCTTTTGAATCTGCAGGGCCTGGATTGGCCTCAGCTTGAAAGAATCCTCATGCTAAAGTAGCATGTTTTAGGAGACCTATTAGACACCTTGGGGAGTCCTCTCCTCCAGTTACAAGGGGTGAAGTCAAGCATAACCCTGCGCTGACGTCAACCTCATGCCACACCTGCCTATGTGTGGCAACTCCATCTTCTTGGAGGTGGCTAATCCTTCTCCAGCCAAGCCAAGTATAGTGGCAGGAAGGCACAGGGCAGGTTCTCTATGGATCTGGGCAGATGGGTAAAGGAGGAGTCCAGGAGCCCTCAGTGGCTTTTCAGGCTTTTAATGATCTTTCTACACGTTTGTAGTGAGGCAACAAGGTGCAGGTCAGGAAGGGGGTTGGGGGGCCAGGAGGCTGGCAGGCCTGACCAGCAAATCTTTACTCTTTATGGGAAAATCTTTGCTCTTTCTGGGCTCTCTGGCATTCTCTTGTGGTCTCTTCACTGGTCTCTAATGCACTCTGCTGCATGGTCTTCTGTCACCTCCATCCTCTGCTGCTGCCTTTACATACATACTTAGTCTCTCGGCTCAGGTGTGCCCACTTACACACGCCCACAACACACTCCAGGTGCCCACCATCAGGCATGCATGTAAGACCACAGGTGTCAATCATTGATGCTAATGGTGGGATGGCAGAAAAAACCTGATCACTTCCATTTACCCTACACCAAGGGCTCAAGCTGCCTCCTTTCCCACCATCACCTCGGTTGCTGGATTTGGTGGGAGCTTTGTGCACAGTGACCTCCCTGCCATGCAACAGGTCCACCGGGTAGCTGTTGGCACCCACACCTGTAGGCCTGTTTCATAGCAGGTCTTTGCAAACTTCCTCAACAATGTTGGTTTAACAAAAACAATGAAAACAACGTATGGTCCCTCCTACAGATTAGTTTATGTACTATTCTACCGCAGTCCATACTTGCATGGCATCTGAGAAAATGTCAATGTGACTGAAGAAAATAAAGAGTCAAGTCTGGAGATTAAATTCATCTATAACACCTGATCCACGTGCAAATATCCCCAGAGAACCATAGAGCTAGGGGTTCTCCCATCATAGGGACATGATGTCATTAGCCTCTGGCCTTCTTACTTACTTCAGTGCCTCTGACTGTCCATCAGTCTGTGGAGTTTCCCCTTCTCAAGGCAGTTCCAGATCCTAGAATTTTATTCTAGAATTTCCCTTTTCTACTTCCTGTCTCAAGCTGAGGCAACAGGAAGTTCAGCTCTGTTCCTCCAGGATCCTGACCCAGTCAGAAAGCATTGCCTTCAGCCCCTTAGCTCCTGAATCTTTAGTTGCAGAGATGTTCCTTTCTAAATATCATCTCTTGAGTCATCTCTCCTCTGGCTCACTTTTCTCTGGCTCTTACTACCTCTCATAATTATCAAGGACATGAGAGTTCCATTTTGTCTTTCACACAAAACATGAAAGAAGGTGAAGGAGAGAAGATGGTGTAAAACTATATACAGAGGAGAAGGTGGGATTGGAGCAGAGTTCACGAAGGCTGGAGGAGTGTGGGGCACATGCAGTTAGCAACGTGGGAGGGAGGCTAAGATTGGAGTTAGACATCACGTTTTTCCCTAAGCTTCACTTTCCTGTTCTATAAAATGAGTATGATAATACCAAACTGGGAATGTTATTAAGATGACTGGCTTTTTGCATAATGCTTTACATATATTATCTCACACTGTTATTATTCCTCTTTGTTTTCTTCACAAGTGAAGAAATTAGAGCTAAAAGATCAAGTAACTTGCCCAAAGCCACACAGTTGGTAAACAGCAGAGCAGAGATCCAAACCCAAATTGGTCCACTTCCCCCACCCTGCTTTAGTCACCATATGCTGCTGCCTCAGACATTCTAACTCTCAGGGGCAACACATCCAGGCTTCAGAAATCACTGCTGCTTCATCTGAGCAAGGAGTATATACCTCCCAATCTTGATCATCTTCATCATCTCCAGGATAGAAAGGGACTATCCCCACCCCTCATGCCCCTTGATTCCTTAACATATGTTGCAGGGTAAATCAGTTAAAAATCAGGCTTTTCTACGCCTTCCTGCCACTAGTCTCTATGGCCTGCACCTGTGGTCTTGCACTCCTCCCATGATTATGGACACCTGGGTCCAAAGAGCACAGGTGTGCATGTGTGTGAATGCACACACCTGGGCCTACAAGGGAGGGTTAAAGGGATGGCACCACTCTGGGCACAGGTGAAGATGCTAGGGCCAGAGAGACAGAGAAGAAGGAGCTGCTCCACAGAAAATAATACCTCTAGAATGATAATCCACCCTTCTCCAGGGAGGATTGGAATGGGTCGTCCCTCTGATTGTGGTGTCAGCCTTGACTTTTGT